TTCTGTCTCTATGGATTTATCAATTTTGTATGGCTCATACAGATGGAACCATACAATATATGTTCTTTTGTGACTGGCTTCTTGCCCTGAGAATAATGCTTTCTAGGTTCATCCGTATCGTAGCATGTATCAGTAGGTCATTCCTTTTACGGCTGAACAATATTCCGTTTTTGGATCTACCACATTTGTTTATGTGGATGAAGGTGCTTTTCAATTTTTTATTTCCATAGGTAATCAGGGAATAGGTGGTGTTTGGAAGCTCTTTAGTGATGTTTTGTGAGATTTTAGTGCACCCATCACCTAAGCAGGACACAATGCACCCCATTTGTACTCTTTTATCCCTCACCTCTTTCCCAACCTTACCCCTGAGTCCCCAAAGTCCATTGTGTCATTCTTATGCCTTTGCATCCTCATAGCTTAGCTCTCACTTGTGAATGAGAACATACAATATTTGGTTTTCCGTTCCTGAGTTACTTCACTTAGAATAATGGCCTCCAATTTCATCCAGGTTGCTGTGAATGCCATTATTTTGTTCCTTTTATGGCTGAGTAGTATTCCACCGTACATATATATATATATCACGGTTTCTTTATCTACTCATTGATTTGGGTTGGTTTATGTGCATGGAGATTTTAAAGGAGCAATTCCAAGGTTCCTCCCAGTCTATCGCCACAAAGATAGTGCTGCTGTCATAAAGGCAGAGGTCTGAGAAACCTCATCCTGCTATGGTGAAAAAAAATTCAGAGGCCGGGCATGGTGGCTCACACCTGTAATCCCAGCACTTTGGGAGGCTGAGGGGGCCAGATCATGAGGTCAGGATATCGAGACCATCCTGGCTAACATGGTGAAACCCCATCTCTACTAAAAATACAAAAAATTAGCCGGGTGTGGTGGCACGCACCTGTAGTCCCAGCTACTCAGGAAGCTGAGGCAGGAGAATCACTTGAACCTGGGAGGCGGAGGTTGCAGTGAGCTGAGATTGCACCACTGTACTCCAGCCTGGGCGACAGAGCAAGACTCCATCTCAAAAAAAAAAAAAAAAATCCAGAGAGGAAACCTGCTGTAAGAGAATACCCTAGCTAGGGTCAAGGCCAAAAACTCAAATGCCCACGTCAAGGAGTGAGAAGG